AAATAAATCATTATAAAACATACGGAATTTTGATATAGAATCATTAATTACGTATACAAACCTTATAAAAAATGTATTATTTCCTTATTTCGATTTCTTATAGGGTATGTTGTGTTTTACCTACTGAAATCTTGGAACTTTTATTCTTCTTGAACTTTAGCAGCTTCTCATTTTTTTTTATAATTGTTGGTAGAACACATTCAATTATATCTTGTCACAATACTGTGACAATTAAGAATAAGTCATCTGCAAGTTCTCTGGCTTTATTACTCTTGACATTGACATTTGTATTGAGTCTACAAGCTAAGTCCCATTTTCTCAAAGATCCATTTCACAAACTTGAATCCAAATTGACATAATCGGTTCTAATAAAAAAGTTAGTAAAATAATAAAGGCAATAAAAATCAATAAATAATAAATTAAACCAACTTTTCAAGTAACTACTACTTCTTCTATTCCTTCTGTATATATTCGTTTCAAACCCTTTGCAAGTCAATATTACTGATGATTTCGTATTCTGAGTAGTGCTATCAGAGATTTGCAATTTGTCATTCAATATCATCTTGTTGGTTTTCTGAACTGACTCTGGTATAACAGATCTTGGCCTTTTACATGAATTGTATCTGTTGTTTTCTCTAAAGATTCCTTGTATGTCTGTAATTAAATAGTCATTTTCTACCGGGTATCCTGACAATCCTGACAATAGCAATTCTTTCTATCATCACAATGTTTCAACTGAGACATCATATATCTCTTGGATTTTACTTGCACTTTGGTAGTTCTGAGCCAGGGCTGTAAAAAAAAAATGTGGTTTTTTTTAGGAATGTGATTTATTAACAGAACTGTTTTTATTAACCTTTTATTTGATTTAAAATGCGGAGATCTACACAAAACTGTATTAATCATAGTAATACGAAAAATGTGTTCGGAAACCGGTACAACGGTAATGGTTTTAGTCTCGTGCCGAATAGCTCATTATAATAACCATTATAATAAATAAACTCCATTCTTAGAAAAATGAACGTAGTTGTTTGTTTGTTGTAAGAGAATGTTTTATCAACCAATAAAAGTAATATATCAAAGAGGAGGATGTTGTTTTCAATATATCCCGCAGTCTATTTTCCGTTTATTTATTTAGACCTTTGATCTAAATTCACTGTCACAAATTTTTTTTTATTTTGAAAAACTGAACAAAATGATAAGATGGATTGGGTTAAAAGGTCATTTAAGAAATTTGAGATTTACCACTAATTTTCAACGTAATGGATCAAAGGTTCTTTTAAAGAACCAAGGAGCAGGCATTGCGATAAAGTGCGTAAAACGACCGACTTTTTTTACGACTAGTAGAACATTTGACAATAATTTGAGCAGTTTTTCACTTTCATTAGTACCAAAATATCAATGTAGACCTTTTCATGCAACACAACCAACTAGAGCAATACCATTGCCAGCATTTTTATTAGCACTTAAAGCAGCGAAGGTGACAATGACAATACGTACTCTTAGTAATTTGTTACTGTCGTTTTTACCTTTTGCATTACGTAAAAATCCAAAAACAGGACGGCCAAGACGTTTATTAATATTTTTAACGACGGTTATACCATTAACAGGATTTTGTATTATAGCATTAATGGGTTTAGAGCAAGCCCCACACACGGGACGTTGGAGAGTTAGATTTTTGTCAGAAGAAGAAGAAAAAGAATTTTGTAATGTAGCATTTTTAATGGAAATAGAAAAATTTAAAGACAAATTCTTACCAAATGATAGGATTGAAAGTATTTTTGTTCATCATGTTGCTGATAATTTAATTAAAGGGCTAAATAACGATTTAATGACTTTAAAATCATTTAATAATTTAAATGATAAAGAAAGTATTGAAGTAGTTTCTAATATTATAGAACAAAATGTTGTTAACATGAAAGATCAAAGTACTGATACTCGAGATGAAGAAAATGAACCTATACCTTTTGAAATATATATTATTGAAGACGATGAAAATTTTAATGCTGTTTCTTTCGGCGCTACAAAAAAAATTATTATATTCACAGGTAACGTTAATTAACGCGTGTTCTTATTTTGGAATTTACGCGCAATCAAATCTTATAAAATTAAATTAATTTAGGTTGGCTCAATATAATCGATTATAATGAAGAATATCTTGCAGTCACATTATCTCATGAGATTGCCCATATTTTACAGCGCCATTCAAGCGAATCACTTGGATTTAATCAAATATTATACATGTTTGCAGGTACATTAATAAATTATTTTACTCTCGATAGGAATTTGCATACATTAACTATTTTTTTTTCTTATTAGATACTGCTCGAACATTGTTATGGCCACTTCTTGCAACAATTGGACCTTTATTAAATGATTATGTGAATATGTTAGCACAAAAGTTAGTTGAAACATATACATCAGGAAGATATAATCAAAAAGCCGAGAAAGAAGCTGATATCGTTGGACTACATTTGATGGCACTTTCAGGATATCATCCAAAGAAAGCTATAGAATTGTGGAATCATTTATCTTTGATAACCGGTCAAAATATTAATGTTGCAAATGATGTAATAGTAGAACCAAAAGAATCACAACAAATTTTTCACACTCATCAGGAACGTAAAGAACAACATTTTGATCTTTTTCGAAGTTTACAAGAATTCTTTGCGTCTCATCCTTTAGAAGGAGTTCGTGCTGATTATTTAGTTGAAGTTCTGCCTGATGCCGAACAAATTTATGAAAAAGTTGTTGCTGAAGGTGGAAAAGCTAAACTATTTAATTCATCTAATGATAGTATCAATGAATTGAATAAACCTATTGAAGCTTTTCAAAATGGTGATCAGATCATATCCACAATTTGGAATGGTCTAAGATATTTAATAGGGTTAAATCCGGAATCATAAAAATCCTTATTTATTACTTTCATCTCATGATGCAAAATTGATAGATCATTTTGTCTTAAAGTTCTTGCTGGATTTTATATAATGTTAGAAACTCCACTATTCATTTATTAAAGTTTTATTTTGTAAATTCTATTTAATAATAAATATTTATACATATAAATTTCCTTTTAATCTATAATCTCTATGAATATCTTATATTCGATATTTATTTATTATACCTACCCATTATACTTACCTCATATCATACTTACCTAAAGCTAAAGTTCATTTTTTCCTGGAGCAAACAAACAAAATTTCCCCAACCTTTTTTTCAAAATTTCGATTAAGCGGTTGCAGGTTCAGTTTTTTTAACACTTAAATCCAACTTCTTATGATATAAATTCTTAATCTGTTCAAGTACCATAAAGGTAACAACGGTATGTGGCCCTAATCTAACAAAAGCCGGTACCCATCCTTTAAATAATGCCAAAGGTCCTTCTTTACTAATTATAGTTGTTAAAACTACTAAAATACTCTATTAAATGAGGAAAGGGAAATCTTCTATTAACATATTACAAAGATTGATATATATATATATGTATTAGGTCTTACCTTTGCTTCTGATGAAGAATTCATAACACGAGTTTTGATGACATCAACAGGTGAACAAATAGTTGTAGCTACTAAACCCTAAATAAAAATAAAATAAATTCACGTTTCGAAGAAAAGAAACTTCTTTATAAACAAACTTTTCCTTACTATATAACTTACCGCTAAAACGCTACAAGTAAAATGAGTAATAATATTATCTTTAAAAAATTTAGTAGATAATAACATTTGTTTAAATTGATCATAAGAAGCTAATTGAGAAGAATTCATTAAAATAGCACGATTCATATTTGGTACAATTCCTCTTGTAAGACCTTTAAGACCATCTTCTTGCACAATACGATACAATCCATCAAAAGCGTTTCTATAATTTCTACGCATATGTGATGGCTGCTTTGCATCATTTTGCATACGAACCATAACTAAATCTGCTGGATTACCGAATGCTCCTCCAATGCATCCTGATATTGACGCACAAAAAATCTTTTTTGGAAATGACAATTGCTCTTATCATCAAAATAATTATTTAGAATTAATAATAGAATCATTTTGTGATTTAAAAAGTATACATATAAAAAGAGAATCAAATACCTTGATTTTTTGATATTGCAGTCTTTAATTTTTCATAAGCACCAAATCTCATTGTAGAATAAGTAGCTTGTCTTAATATACTAGCGGATAATCCACTATACAATCCTCTAATACCTTCATCCTTTACTATTCGTATCATTGTATAAATTGTTGATGCTTTGTTTAATCCTTGCGTTGTTTGTAATCTCACTTTAGTTAAGTCCAAAGGATGGCTAACGGTACATGCAATACATGATGCAGCTCCTAATATCAAAAGAGAAAATTAACATTGTAAAGAAAAAAAAGAGGATGAACTAAATTGTATAAATCTACCAACCTCCAAACCAGAATGGATATTCAATTTTCTTTATGGTATTAATTTCGACTGGCGCTGATGCTAATACGTTCGTAGATAATGAAGTTGATGATTCCATTGTTATCGAAATTCTATTTGAATAAATTAATCGGTCAATAATCAAGTTCTGTACCTAGGAAGAAAGGTTTTAAAATAGCATAATACTTACCAATGTTAAATGTTCTTTCGGTTTAAAAATAACCAGAGATAAGAACAAAAAAATCTTTTTGATCTGGATGTTCCAAAATGTCACACGAATCCGAATCCGAATTGTTGCATTATTTGTTGTAATATTATTTAACATGACGTATACAATAAAAATCGATTCTAATCCGCAGCACGTAAAAAAAGAAATTAAAATTCCGATCAACCTTATGCATTTTCGGACATGATTTGCAATGATCGACAAATCAATTTTTAGCTTACAGTAATAAAGTTTCTTAACCACAAAACCCTTTGTATTCATTCTAGAAATGATCATAGCTGCGCCACATATATCAACAATATATTCGGTACACCAAAGTTGATTACATAATTTTAACATGTGTTAACTGTAAAAACTGGATAATAAAAAAAAATAATACAACATATGTGCTACATAAAATGCATTTCTAGAATTTTGTTTTCTTGTCATCCAAGAGAGAAGTTGGTATTATTTTATTCATTATTATTATTAGTGTTAATATTATTTAATATTATTATTTTAAAAATTACTTCTCAATTTATACCTGAGAATTCAGTTTGTTGTCAGCTTTTTAATTTGTGTATTTTTCGGAAAAACCGGCTATGTATATCTCCGCATTAGCGTTTGATAATTTATAAAAATCATGTCATGTTATAGAAAAACCAATTTTTTTTATATAGTAATTTTTTTGTAATTTTTTTTGTACACCTTGCGTGTTCAAGTTTGTTACATTATACCCCTTTCTTGTAACATATTTGATTATTATTATTATTATAGATTTTTCTAACTAAAAAAGAAAAAAAAAAAAAAAAAATCTATTAAAATTCCTACTTCCCTTTCTTTACACTATCCTTTGAGTTTCGTGACATATTTAGAAACTTTCTTTATATATAATTTCAACCTGTATCATATATTGCCTTCAAGGTAAATTAGATGGCTTTGAAGGTTGGTATTTCTAATCTGCAATAAACTATACCATACTTGCATATGACAGCCTTACTATTTTAATCCCGGATATTAACTCCTCTTTATTTCTCAGTATGAGTTAGAACAGTGGGGTGCCGCTGTTCAAGCTTATGATTCTCAAGATTTTGATAAAGCTTTAGACACATTCGAGGTATGCACGAAATCGGATCAGAATTATTCCTATACTTTGAAGTAAAAACTTTCAAATACACCTTGTCGTTCTTCATTACTCATATTAATTCTAATTTTTTTTCATTAGACTATAGCAGATTCTGCAAAATTCCATTTTAACATGGGTTTAATATATGCCACTCTCGGTGAACACGAAGAAGCAGTACGTAATCGCGCTACAAATCAATTTAATTCCCTGATCATTATTAATTCAATCGTTTTTTTTTTTAATTTTATAGTGCCGGTCATATAAAAAAGCTGTAAAATTAGATCAATTTTTTGCTGTAGCTTATTTTCAAAAAGGCGTATCCCATTTCTTATTGGGTGAATTTGAAAAGGCATTGGCAAATTTCAATGATTCTTTATTGGTAAGTTGTTATTTACTACAATTAATACTTATATAATTAATTTATCAATATGTATTTATATAAATTTTATCATAGTACCTTCGTAAAAATATGCTTATAGATTATGAACAATTGGGATTAAAGTTTCGACTTTATTCATGTGAAATTCTATTTAATCGTGGTCTCTGTTACTTATATCTTGGTCAAACAGATCAAGGTATGGGTGATTTTACATCGGCTGCAAAAGAAAAACAAACAGAGGAACATGAAGTCATTGATGAAGCTATTACAGTTCAGGGTCAAGTAAGAATTTTTTTATTTCCTAAAGAAAATATTATTAGTTAATATCATTAATTATTATTTTGTTTTCATATCTTAGGGTTTCACTGTATTTTCAATCCCAGTTGGTGTAATTTATAGACCACCTGAAGGAAAACTTAAAAATGTAAAAACAAAAGACTATTTAGGTAAAGCAAAATTGGTAGCAGCTGTAGATCCAGAAGACGCTTTCACCGGTTTTACAGGTGCTCAACAACAAAAGGTATGTCAAATTACAACAAATTTATTTTTTTCTCATTAAATTATATATATGATTAATGAAATTTTTTTTTTTTTTTAAAAAAAAAAAAAGAAACAAGGACTTAATACGACAACACCAATTACAAAAGCAAACACCGAAGGCGCTGTTATACAAATGAATAATGGATCAAATTCGCGACCGGCTTCTCCAACCGAAAAAGCTCCTAGACCTAGGTCATTGTCCACCAGTCCAAGAGCTCCACCTTTTCCTATGCGAGCGAGCAGAACTCCAAGTATGGCAAGACGACGTCCCCCTCAGAAGGAAGGAACATCAACTTATATTGAAGAAGATAATATCTCTAATGGTAGTGGGATATTTCCTGATAGACGCTTACCTGCTTCTGAAGGTATGATGAGATCTACCTCACTTGCACCGGATTCAACTGGTACAGGAAAAGGAGGGGATCAAAAAATTTTTTTACTTCTTAATAGTTATACGGTAAGGCTTCCTCAAATGGGATTATAAACAACAAAGTCGTTCTAAAACTTTAGATAACAGTCGCGGTTCACTTAAATTACCATCTAACGGTCCGTCTAGAATGACTTCCTTGAGAGATCCTAATCGTGGACCACTTAGGGATGGACCTATGCGATCTAATTCTTTGAGAGAATCTAGTCGTTCTAATTCAATTAGAAATGGACCACCCAGAGTGAATTCTATAAGAGGTAGACCAACAGGAAGGCAAATTCCTCAAAGGTCAAATACACAGGGTCGTACGCAATTTTTACAACAGCAAATGTCAAAAATGTCAGTCTCGGATGATGATCAAGGTTATAACGATTATTACCAGGATGTAGACCAATACGTTAATAACAATATTACTAGTCCGCCGGAAGATTATAGTCAAGTGTATGATTTCATGATGGGCTCCATCATTATTATTATAGCGATAATATTAGTGAACTTAACTCATAAATATGAAATGGTATTCATTATAGTAATAGGTCGCCATCTCGTTCTCCAAGTTTACGTGGTCGTGGTACGAGTTCACCTGGAAGAGGTTCTTTCAAATCATCTCCTCTATCTCTGCAAAACGGTCTATTGGCTTCTCCTACAGCGGACAATGGAGAAGAGCATTATGCCAGTTTAATCTTCGATGATGATGGCTATGGTTACGGTGATGGTGAGGAAGACGATACACAATTCGAAATGCTTCCACCACCACAAAAAAATAATCCGTATCCTAGTTCACCTGTTAATGAAATACTTAAAGAACCTTCTAAGGTACATAATGAAAGAGTCATTTACTTCATAATAATAATAACAAAAATAATTATTATTATATATATTTTAGATTAAAATTAAATGTTATCATAAAGACACTCGTATAGTTATGGTCCCAGCAAGTATAATTTACTCAGAACTCATTAAACGAATACAAGAAAAATTTGCCTTAGAAGCATCCTTGCAATTAAAATATAAGGATGAAGATGGTTCGATGGTCACGATGATAGATCAAGAAGATTTCGAAATGGCTAGATCAATGGTTCCAAGATCATCAAGTGATATCGGTAGAATGGAGGTAATTATTAAATCTTTTAAAACACTGTATATAAAACAAATCATCAACTCTATGTAATTTTATTGTAGATATGGATAGAAACGGAGTAATAAACTCAATTGAAATTATCGGAATACATTCCAATTTGAATTAAAAAAAGTATGCATCAAGGAATAATAACACTATCACGTAATCATGAAAGATTATTTAAGATACGCTGGTTCGTGTTGTCAATACCTTAAAAAAAAATCTGTTAATGAATTAAAAGGTTCAAATGTATTATTTGTATGTAATTGTTTATGAAATATAAAGCTATTGGTGAGTGGAAAATTATTTTATAACATCTTCATCTTATATGAAGTTATTAATCTATATTATAATATTATCATTATAGTTCAACAAACACGAATCAGGAACATATACATATTTAATTTAATAGATTAAATTATTATTTATTATTATTATTTTTTACAAACTTAATTTACCAACCATAAATTTCATTTCGTAAGTTACATACACTATTACTTTTGAACCTTTATTAATTTTTCACTTACATTTATTTAATAATAGTATTCAAAGACATTGTTTTGATCATTCTATTTTTTTTTTTTAAAAAAAAAAAATATATAATATTTATTAGAAAGGAGGAATTGATGAAATATTAAATACAATTCTTTTTTAAATTATTATCCAATTATATTAAATACAAAAATTTCGAATTAAACAACTTAATTATTTTACTATCATTTATATTATTTTCTTTTTGAAAACTTTACCTCTTGTTTATATATGATAAAAAGTTAATTCGATATTGATTATAGATTTAGTTTAGAAATATTTGATTATTAAAAATATTTTATCCTACATATATATCTTAGACTTTTATTCTTTTTATTTATTATAGTCAGAATTCGATATAACGAGTTGCAATAAAATGATACTCTCATCATTATCTTGCCTCGAATATATTATATAAAAAACGCGACCAAAATTCGGTACGTGACTTTTTGCCGACATACTTATGGAATAAAAAAGAGCAGTAATGAAATACATCATTTTTTGACTACGCGTTTTCTTTTTTCATTATGAATATAATAAATTTACAATATATCCATTTTTTTTTTATATTTATATACAGTAACTATAAAAAAATTTTTTTTTCCAGTGCAAAATTAGCTAATTTCTTATCTAATAGAAATTTTTACAATCGTCAAATCGTATGAAAAATTATATTATATTTCAACCTTAAAACCTAACCTTTTTTCGTTAACTGATAATGAATGAAAAGTGGTTTTTAATGTTTATCAATACTTTTTAAATACTCGATAATGTTAATTGTAATGTATAATATATCATTACACAAGGATTCTTAATATTGAAGGTTTATTGTTGCATGTAATTTATGAATATTGAATTTACAAAGTTTTATTAGATTTTGCAAACATTTTACTTTCAACACATATATGGGAACGTTTCCAGTAAAATCAAGTCATGAGACATAGTAAATCATATGATCCGTAATGTGATTTTACTGGAAACACTCCCATATTATGATAAAAAACTCGAAGAAAATAGTTATATATACAGAATATAAAAATGACAATTCGTTTGTAACTATTATGCGTAGCATCATTTTAAAAACTTACGATAAAAAAAAATAAAGTTTTAACTAGGCCAAAAGTTTTTTTTTTTTAGATAATCATTTAAATAGTTATTTTATAATGATAATTGTAATATGTAATGATAATACTAATAAGTTTTATGACAAAGTTATTCCTAATTCTCTTTTATATAGATTATCATAAAATTAATACAGTCGTCCTCCCTTATAGTCACAGGCCTTGGGACCACCAAAAATAGTGATTATAAAGAAGTGTGCTTATATAGAAGTTTTCTAAATTTAGAATTTTTTTATAATTTTTTATAAAAACTTATAATTTTTTCATTTTTAAAATTGTCATTATTTCATAATTTTCATCTTGTTAGTAATTATAATTATGTTAGATTATGTACTTTTTTTTTCTCTTTTAAATGAATCTTTTTTCATAAAATTCTGATCTGTATTTAAAAAGTTTTGCTAGAGATAAAAATGGTCTTGAATTTCATATATTTGTGTGAAAAAAAAACTAATTTACCACTACGCTCCCAACCTCCACCCCTGTGAACACTACTTTTTTATATACTTTTTTGTTTCTTAAGATCGCATTACTTTCAAACGTGCTTTTTTATTAACGTAAATAAATAAATAATATTACAAACATCACGTAACCTCATTCACATTATTTTTCTATAAAAAAATTATTTTTAATAACATAATATCTACATAAATTTGTAATAATAATCCTATTTTTTCCTATCTCAAAAAAACCAACTAAAAAAAAATACTAATTACTAAAAAATAAATCATGTGTTTTTTGTTTTCTTGATTTTATTTTTTGTAATTTCATTAAACGCAAATACTTTCAAAATATAACTAAATCATTTGTATTAAAATCTGAATTATTTTGTTGTTCAAAATAATTAATAAAAGTTTTTAACTCATTGATGCTTTTTTTTGAAATTATTAAAGGTATTTCTTAATCATCATCATCATCATTTTTGTCATTATTTTCAGCTTCTTTTTGAACCAAATTAACAATTTCATTATCTGTAAAATTTTCTTCAGTTGAAATTTCTTCATC